AAAAAAAAAAAAAAAAAAAATGGAGAGAGAGGGGAAATAAAGTATTTCCTGTCTAAGCTACCCAGAAAATCCTATGAATTCTCTAAGATGTGGGACTATGCTCATACAGCTTTTCCCCACCCTAGCACAAAGAGCTGATTAGCAGAACAAATTCAAACCACATACCTTCCACCCCACACAAATTGTTCAGAAGGGACCAAGGGCTTGAATCCCTTGCCTAAGATAACCACCAAACAGTTTCATTTCTAAGAAACCCCTCTGTCCTTTTAATATTCAGGTACCTAAATAAAAGGTTCAGTCTATGCTATGACAGCACATAACAAATGGCCAAATATTTTCACCAATTTTGGAAGGCATGTTAGAGGTGGATCCCTTGAAATAAATATAAAATGCATAGCACATATGAGATTGAACTTGAGAACTCTAAGAGATATGCCAAAGACTTAGGTGTTTGTTTCCCAAGGCAGCTGAAACTGAGACAATTGTGCAGCTTACCTGTGGAAAGAAAGATGCCCTACGTTATCAAAATGCAATGAACAGAGATAACAAACTGGTTTCAAATACAAGTCTCAATCAGGGCAGCGCCTGTGGCTCAATGGGTAGGGCACTGGCCCCATATACCGAGGGTGGTGGGTTCAAACCTGGCCCCGACCAAACTGCAACAAGAAAATAGCCAGGTGTGGCAAGCGCCTGTAGTTCTAGCTACTTGGGAGTCTGAGGCAAGAGAATCGCCTAAGCCCAGGAGTTGGAGGTTGCTGTGAGCTGTGATGCCATGGCACTCTACCAAGGGCAATAAAGTGAAGACTCTGTCTCTAAAAATAAATAAATAAATAAGGGATACAAGTCTCAATCAAAGACTTGAGTGCATTTCAGAATAGCCTTTTCTGTTGCTGGATTTAAATGTTCCAGCTAACAGCCCAGGTGGAAGACACTAGTTAGTTTGTTCTTTATTTTCCTTGGAAAGTTACAGGTTACTTGTCAACAAAATAACTGTCCAGGCCAGAGATATCCAGTAGCTTCTATGTACAGGACCATTCCCCAGGAGTCACATTAAGTCGCAACTCCCAAGGCCTCACTGGCCCTCCTTGCAGGTCTCTAGGAATGAATCACAAAGATGGCAGTGACAAAAATCAGGCTGACTTCAGCACCTGCTTTCAACAAAACAAAGGGAAATAATGGACGCTGGAATGTGACTCCAGCCTAGTATCTGGCCAGCAGGTCTGGGGGCTTCCCTCCTAGAGGTCTGCCTCTGCCCATCCCACAATCCAGGCAGTTTGTCTCAGACCTTCCTGGGAGTGCTCTGAGGGGCTAGAGGGTTCCTGCCCTGCCCTTCCTTTTCTTTCAATCTGTTGTTTAAACACTGCAGCATCCAGCCTCCCTTCCCGGAGGATGAGGAGTATTATTTGCACTGTGGCCTTTTCTCTTGTCCCTGTTTTTTGTACAAAAACAACAATACTCTCCATTGGACTGTTTTTTTTTTGTTTGTTTTTTTCTTCTTCCCAAGAAAATAAAATCAGCTCAACAGGTACAGTTCTGCTGGTCAATCTGCTTCCGGCAGGGTTCCATGGTGACAGCTACACCCACCCCACTCCGGCCAGATGTCATGCAGGTCACTTCACTCCAAGTGTCTGTGTCTGGGTCATAACATTCCACACTGTCCAGGAAAGTGTGACCATCATAGCCTCCTGCAGGGAGAGCAGAGGAGATGGTCACTATAGGTCAAATCACCTCCCAGGGCAGGGAAAAGTAAGGAGGAAGCAATTATGAGACCCAAAAGCCAACTGTCCCTAATAGGTGGGGGTTGTTAGGACTCTCCTTTTTCTTTTTTCCTATCATCACAGTTCACTGCAACCTTGAACTCCTGGGTTCAAATAATTCTCCTGCCTCAGCCTCCTGAGTAGTTCTGACTACAGATATGTCCCACCATGCCCAGGTAATTTTTTTTTTACTTTTTGTAGAAATGGGGTCTTACTATATGGCCCAGGCTGATCTCAAACTCCTGGCCTCAAGTAATCCTCCCACCTTAGCCTCCCAAAGTGCTGGGATTACAGGTATGAGCCACTGCACCCGGCCATGGACTCTTCTCTACACCAACGCCTCACCAAGGACGTAGATTCTTCCCTGGTGTACGGTGATTCCCAGGGCACTTCGCCGATGCTTCATGGGGGCTACGAAAGTCCATGTCTCTGTTTCCACATCATATCGTTCCACACTGTTCAACTGGTCTTGACCATCGTAGCCCCCCGCGGCATAGATACAGTTGTGCAGGACGCAGACACCTAAACAGCACCGTGTGGAGGGGGTGACTCCAGGACCGAGCCTTGGAGCCCCAGCCACCACCTATCTGGGGGATCCTTCATCTCATCCTTCCCCCCTCTCCCAAAGGAACCCTCAGAAACAAGCCAGGAGAGGCTAGGACACTAACAGAATCTACCTCTTCTATGCGTGTTACAGGCCAAGGGTTGCAGTGAGAGGGTTTCATCCTGGAACTAAGTGGGACATTTCCTGGATACTCCCCTCCCCACAGCTCCCACCCACCTGCCCCACTTCGGATGGTGTTCATGGGTGTGATCATCCGCCACTCATTCCTCTCTGGGTAGTAGCACTCTGCAGAGTTAAGGCGGTTTGTTCCATCAAAGCCACCAACAGCATAAAGCAGACGGTTGAGGACAGCCACTCCCACCCCAATCCTTCGCATCAGCATTGGGGCCACCAAGCGCCACTCGTCCCGTTCTGGCTCATACCTGTAAGGGCATAATAAGAACAATGATGACACAGCCATCAGAGCTACCTCCATGGAGCCCTCACTACAGGCTAGGTACCCTATTCCTTCTGACACTTGAATTCTTTGACCCTTACAGCCATTCTCCAAAGAGCCAGGCACCAGCAGCTCCATTTTCCAGATGAAGAAACTGATGGTCACAGCCATCAGTTGCTCAAGGTCATACCTGCATCTGTTGGACCCCTGTGGCTTGGAGACATCCACCCCTGCCAGGCCCCTGCTGAGTCTTATGTGCATGTTATGTTACCAAAGCCCCACCCAGTCATAGATAATGACAAGGTAGAGTTACAGAAAGGTGTAATGGCATGTCCAGGTCACCAAGGAGCAATGGAGCTGGGGTTTGACCCCAGAGCCCTAATTCTGACACCTACACTATTGATTAGGACAGTTTTCCTCAAAGTGTGATTGATACTCAGAATTTTTCTTTCTTTTTTTTTTGTCACCCTTGGTAGAGTGCTGTGGTCTCATAGCTCATAGCAACCTCAAACTCTTGGCCTCAATTCTCCCGAGTAGCTGGGACTACAGGCACCTGCCACAACGCCTGGCTGTTTTTAGAGATGAGGTCTTGCTCTGACTCAGGTTGGCCTTGAACCTTTGAGCTCAGGCGATCCACCCGCCTCAGCTTCCCATGTGCTGGGATTACAGGTGTGAGCCACTGTGCCTGGCCTGACACTCAGAGTTTTTCAAAGATGAGGTAACTACATGCCCCAGTTGGCCTGGGTACTTCCTTCCATACCTGTACTAGAATAATTAATAATGTCCCTTTTGTTCTAAAAGTGGCCTGCTGAGGGTGATGCAATACATTAGAAGCATCTGGGTTGTTTGTTTAAAAATCTCATTCTTGGCTCGGCGCCTATAGCTCAACCGGCTAAGG